CATCGATTTCAACCTGAGCGCCGAGAACAGTGAGTCCCCAGGGGGAGGGGAGGGGTGGGATGGAAACAGGGTGGACCTGTTACACCGACACCACTGTACCCCGAGGCCTGGCCGTGCCCTGTCCCTGGCCCCCCACGCCCCTGTCCCTGGCGCCCCGCCGCCAACCCCGAGACCTGGCCGTGCCCTCGTTTCCCCCCCATCCGTGCAGACGGGGAGCCTGTGAACCCCCTGCTCCTCCATTTTCACCCCCACCCCCGCCACGCCTAGTAGAGGAGGAGTTGGGATAGTATTTCTCTGGTTTCCTACTCTGCCCTTAACCCCGTTTCTCCCCCACACCCCGCCCCCCCCCCCACCCCCCTTTGTCTGAGAAGACGCTCACGTCCGACAGAGTGGGGGGGGGGGGGGGGGTGGGGTTGAATGGGGCGTTGCTGTCGAGGCCTGTGACACCCCCCCCCCCGCCCCACCTCCCCTCCCCCCAGCACTTTGTCCGAGACTGGACCTCTGCACATTTTCCTGTTTCAGAACGTTGCGAGTCCCTGGATGAGGCGCTCTCCCTGTGGAAGTGCCTCCTGTCTGAGTCTCGTTCCCCTGCCCTGCGGAGCGCCGAGCAAACGGCCCACGCTGTCCTCCTCATGGCCGCCCTCTACAGGCTGATGGACAAGGTAATGGGGGTCTGCTGGGGGGGTGGGAGACGGTCGGGGAAGGCGGACAATACTGTTATCAGCCATTCCATTGAGCATAGGAGCTGGTGTCGTCACGTTGAGTTTGTACAGGGACATTGGTGAGGTCTCTTCTGGAGCAACTGTGTCCAGTTCTGGTCGCTCCCCACCCCCCAGTTATAGGAAGGATATTATTAAACTGGAGAGGGTTCAGGAGAGATTTACCAGGATGTTGCCGGGTGCAGAGGGTTTGGGGAGAGGCTGGGGCTTTATTCACTGGAGCATAGAGGGGGTGACCTTATAGAGGTTTATAAAATCATGGGGGACATAGATAGGGTTAACGATGGGTGTCTTTACCCTCCCGGATGGGGTGATTTCAAGACTGGGGGACACATTTTAAGAAGAGAGGAGAAAGATTTTAAAAAAAGACACGAGGGGTAAATATTTTCACACAGAGTGTGGTCCGTGTGTGGAATGAGCTTCCTGAGGAAGCGGTGGGTGTGGGTACAGTTACAGCATTTAAAAGGACATTGGGATAAGGACATGGACAGGGAAAGGTTTGGAGGGATATGGGCCAGGAGCAGGCGGGTGTGGGACTGGTTTAGTTTGGGACAGCACGGACTGGATGGGCCGAAGGGTCTGTTTCTGTGCTGTAGTACTCCGACTGTATCCTGGAACGCCCTCCCTGATGGATTGGTCTGTGTTAGTGTTTATGAATCAGATCCCAGTCACAAATCTCCCTGGCTTGATGGATAATATTTTTGGTTTTAACGCTGTGGTCTCTTCCCAGGATTTAAATAAAATCATCCTTCGGTTCAGTGGGTTTTGTTTTTAGCAATAGAACAGAAGATTGCTAACAAAATTTGAAATAGATCAAACCATCTACTTGCAAGATGCTTTCAAACATTTTTAGTCGCACAGCAAAGAGCATAATCCTGTTAATATAAAATTCTCTGTTATAAATTGAAAAGGTACTCCAGAACAGCTTTCGCATAATACTCAAAAAAAACAAACACACCAGGTACAGTGCCACATACACCACTCAGATAACACTCACATTGGAGCCCCTGTATCTTAACGCCTTGGTAGGTCTAACTTATTAAACGTACAGACTGGATAGCTTTATTCTGAAGCTATCCTGGATGTTTACAAGATGATGAGAGGCATAGATAGTGGATAGCCAGAGACTTTCCCCCAGGCCGGAAATGACTATTACAAGGGAGCATAATTTTAAGGTGATTGGAAGAAGGTATAGGGGAGATGTCGGAGGTAGGTTTTTCAGAGTGTGGTGGGAGTATGGAATGCGCAGCTGGCAGTGGTATGGAGACAGATACTTCAGAGACTTTTAAGCGACTCTTGGATAGGCACATGGAGGATAGTAAAATGTAGGGTATGCAGGGCAGTTTGATCTTAGGATAATAGGTCGGCACAACATCGTGGGCTGAAGGGCCTGTACTGTGCTGTACTGTTCTATGTTCTATTCTACACCTGTGCTCCAATGTACTTGGCTTGGCTTCAGGTAACCTCTTCAGGGCTTTATCCCAACACCTCTGGTCTGGGACTAACTCGACTCGCAGGCAAACCCAGCTCTCTCTCTCTGTCTGTTCCTGCTTGGGGGCACTGGTCTATTCCTGTTCCAAGAGTTGCGCAGGACTGCTCAAAGGAGGACTGAGAGAAAATCGTTCACCCCCTCCACAGCTGTGCGTGTTTCACTCTAGTGTTTTTTGTTTTTGAAAAGGTTCCTGAGCGGAAATCTCTTAACAAACCCCCCCCCCCCCCAGCAGACCCGCAATCCTCCTTGCTGGGTCACGAAAGGAGACACACGGGTGGGCCACTTGGGACTGAGATGGAGGGAGCATTCTTTCGCTCAGACGAAGATGGTGAAACTGTGGAGCTCCTCACCACAGGAGGCTGGGACACAGAGACTGGCGTGTTGATTTTTTTAAAAAGATGCTGAAGGTTTCGAGGGATTTGGAGTGTGTGGTGTTGAGGTAGAGGATCAGCTGAGATCACGTCAAACGACAGACTGGGATCAAATGGCCGCTTCAGAACTGGAGGGGGTGTGCAGGAAGTGAAGGGTGTTTTTTTTTTTTTCTAAATACCCCCTTTCCCCCCCCCCCCCCACCCCCCCGGGGTGGAGGGGTCAGCGACGGTGGTGAGCGGGAGCTGAGAGCTGTACGACAGCCAGCAAAAGGAGTGGCCGTGGTCATGGAGAGGAGAGAGTGAGTAGTCCGGACTAGGTGTTAATAGCAGAATGCACGTCAGCTGTGCATTTCACAAAAAGCCAGGAAGGCGTGAGGGATGCTGGTGGTGATCAGGGTTTTGTTTTTTTTGGTGGGGGGGGGGGGGGTGGGGGGGGGGGGGGGCGTTTGGCGTGGACAGGCGGGAGGTAGGTGGCAATGGCTGCAGCCTCACTAACGCACGCTTCGTCTGTTCCCCACCCCGGCTCCTGTAGCCGTTCCAGGTCATTGAGAGTTACGGGTTGATGCTGCGTTTGTTGGACCCTTGCACAGACTCGCTGCCCCTCGCTAACGTACTGCTCCAGCTCGGGGAGACACTCTTGTCGGTCGATTGTCTGGACGAGGTGCAGGTGGGTAGGGGGGCACCAACTGGCGGAGCAAGTTCTCCCTTCCTGCACCGACTTGCTCGCACGCGCTCTCATCCTTCTTCTCCCTCCGCACTTTGACACACGCTGTCACTGTGTCTCCCTCCCCCCTTGCACATTCGGTCTCCCGTGTGCAACCCCATCCCAAGGTGTCCGCGCTGAGCTGATTACGTGCTGGTGATGTTCTGATGGTACTTTTTTTTTCTCTCTCTCTCTCCCCTTCCGTCCTCTCTTTCTGCAAACCTCCCAACACCCCTCTCCGCTTCTCCCTGCCTCTGTGTCTCTATCGCACTGTCTCCACCCCTTTCTTTGCCTCTTCCCGACTCCTGCATGCTCTCCACCCTCGTCTCTTTCTCGCTCTTGTGCTCCCTCCCGCCCCGTTAGACCTGCCTGGCCCGGGCGGAGCTCTTACTGAAGGAGGATAACTCTGGTAAAGGTGACCACCACCTCCTGGCAAAGACGACCTGCACCCTCCTTCGCAGCCAACTGCTGTTGGCCACATCCCAGGTGGGTACCAGGCACAGGTCCAGGTGGGGTCTCGGGGCGAGGGGGAGTTGCTGGTCAGTGGTGGGGAGGGGACACAGAGACCGGGGGAAGTGTCCCCGAAGCCAAAAGGCTGCAGGTGCCGGAACTCTGCGACAAAAGCCGAAAGTGCTGGAGGAACTTGGCAGGTCTTGTAGTCTCTGAGGGGGGAGAGAGAGAGGGAGGGAGGGAGGACAGAGGTTAGAGTTTGAGTCGAGTGTGAGTTTTCTTTCAGGACTGAGGAGCTGGAAGGGGGCGCTTTATATAGACGGTGCGGGGTGACCAGAGTTGAAAGATGAAGAGGTTGAGAACCGTGATAAAGGAGTGGCTGAGATGCAAAATAGGTGTCAGTGTTTGGTGTGAATTGAAATGGTCCGCATCATGTGTTTAGTGTGTTTTTGTGGGGTGTTGTATTTGTGCCCTGTAGGGTGCTTTGAGCCAAAAGGTGGTTGGCGGGGGTTGGTGTTAGAATTTGAGTTTCTGCAGACTTTTGTTGAATAGCCAGGGCTCGCGTTAACATGGCTGCAGCTCCCCAGGACAACGTCATGCTCACTGTTAATGTCTGTGTGACCGTCTCCAATCGCAGGTTCCTGAAGGCCTGACCCCCCTCCTCGAGGTCCTGACCTGCCCGTCCCTTCACAAATCATCCAAGGCCTGGTACCTGCTCAAAGCCAAGGTCCAGCAGCTGGTAGCTGCGTACCTGAGCCTGCCACCATCTGCTCTGCCTGCCTCCCTGCGCCGCCGCCTCCAGCAGCATGGTGAGTAGGTTCTGGGGGGGGTGGGGGGTCATCTAGGCCGCTGTCACCCTGCAGCTCTCTCGCCCCCTCTCTCTCTCGCTTCCCCCACCTCTCTCTCTTTCTCTCTCTGTCTCAGTCTCTCCCTCACTGTCTCTCTCTGTGCAGGATGGAGGAGCCCAGAGTCAGCGCTGACTGATGCTCACAAGATGCTGTGTGGGATCGTCATGTTGGTATGTCCCGGAGTTCTGTCCTTTGGGAAGAGAAGCTCTGAGCTGAACTGTCCAGCCAGCCCAGGTAAGGGTGAGTGCGCTGTGTGGCTGTGTTCCTTTTAGAGCTGTACAGCATGGAGACAGATCCTTCAGTCCAACTCCTTCATGCCGACCAGACATCCCAATCTGCCCCATATCCCCCTAAACCCTTCCTATCCACGTCCCTATCCAGGTGCCTTTTAAATGTTGTAACTGTACCAGCCTCCACCCACTTCCGCTGGCAGCTCATTCCACACACGCACCACCCTCTGTGTGAAAAAGTTGCCCCCTCAGGTCCCTTTTAAATCTTTCTTTTCCCCCTCTCACCTTAAACCTCTAGTTTTGGACTTGCCTGCCCAAAACACATTTCCCAGCACACGCTCTCCCCACAGCCCCGTATCGATCTCCAAACTAATCCCACTGCCCCACTCTTTCACCCCACAGCCCTGTATCTATCCTCAAACTAATCCCGCTGCCCCCGCTCTCTCCCCACATGTGTTCCTCAATGTTGAATATTGATCTAGTCTCCTATTGAGAGCTGCCATGGTATTAGCCCCCTCACACTCTCTCTTCCTGCAATTAACTGACATCCGCTCCCCACCCCCCCCCCCCCCACCCCCCCCTCCCCACCACCACCAAACCCTCCCCAGCCTCTCCTCTGCGGCTCGTTCCTCTGGTCTCAACCCCTCACATCTTCTCATGCTGATGCTCCCCCACCTCATTCCTGTAATCACCCGTCCGGTAACAGGGAGCAACCCTCCCCAAGACCCCATAAATTCACCCTAACCACCCCCTCCTCCCCCTCCCCCAACCCCCGTGGATTCACATGGCCAATTCCTGGTATGTTTGAGGAGGATGGGGTGGGTGCTGATGGCAGAGAGAGACGTGATGGGTCGGGGGGTGGGGCCTGGAGGGGATGTTTGGATGGTCTGGGGCCCCATGTCTATTGGGAGTTTTGAGGGAAACCTGTGGTTAGCTGGTGTGGTGGTGGGGTGGGGCGGGGACAGGTGGTCTCTTGGCTTTCGCATGTCGGATCGCGAAGGGGCCTGCACCGAGGAGGAAGCCCAGAAATTGAGAATCATCAGAGGTGTGCAGTCCTGTACCGTCTGCGGCGCACTGTCGTCCACCTCCTCTCCTGCTCCCCCCACCCCCACAGCCTTGGGAGGCTTGTCCGGCTACTATTTTTTAAAAAAAAAAGTCTGTGTGAGGTTCCCTCCTACCCGCCCGCAACCCTCCCCTGGGCAGTGCATTCCAGACCCCGACTGCCCTCCAAATGGCAAATGTTTTCTCCACTGCCTCTAAACCTTTCGCTTTAAGAGGATCCCCCTCTGACCCCCGGCTTTGAACTCTGGTCAACTTGGCTTTGCACCGTTGGAATTCTGAGCTGTGGTAAATTTGGTGCCTTTACCAGTGACAGAGATTGTTAAATGGGCACAGGCCCAGCTCTGGCTATTGCGACAACTGACCTAATTGTTGCAAAGCTGAGAGTGACCCTGTTTCTAATCCCCACTGTTTCCATCCCCTAACCAATCCCTCATCCCCCATGTTGCCGCTTCCATCCCCTAACCAATCCCTCATCCCCCACGTTGCCG